AAAAAAAAAAAAAAAAAAAAAAAAAAAAAAAAAAAAAAAAAAAAAAAAAAAAAAAAAAAAAAAAAAAAAAAAAAAAATATATATATATTTGCAAACTATTTAGATGGCTAGGAAATGTTTTTCAAATGTATTTTATTGATTTTACTACATGAAAAAAAATTTGCAAACGATTTAGACGGCCAGGAAATGTTTAACAAACCTATTTGATTGATTTTACTATATGAAAAAAAATATTTGCTAACCATTTAGATGGCCAGGAAAATTTTTGTCAATTCAGTCTACTGATTTCCCTCTATGGCAAAAATATTTGAAAAATGTACATAGTTTTAACGTTTAAAGTCCTGTTCAAGATATATTTAAGAAGAATATTCTGTTAATTCTAACGAAATTCGGTGTCAACTAAGAATTTGGAAATGCTGGGAAATTGAGTTCGTAGGCACTTGAAAAAAAATTTAAATTGGTATAAAATTTGTTATGAAAGGCGAAAAAGTTTCTTAGTCCTAACTTTTGCTTTAGAAATAAAAATTCAAATTCTTCCTCTCATTTAGGTTCTTTATTGGAGATACTTCTAAAATAATCTGGCTGTTACAAACATGAAAAAATGCAGCTTTTTATCTTAATATTATCGAAACTTTAATAATTTTTCCAGGTGTGTATGAGTCCTAATTATAAAAAAAAAAAAATTCACAGAAAAAAAGTTTTTTCTTAATAATGTGTGAGGGCTCTTTTCATTAGTTGTGTAGGACTTTAATCATCGAAATTATCATCGTAAGCACAAAAAGGTAAGATAAGGAGGACAACACAATTATCATTAAAAACAATAATAATTTATGAAATTACAGTCTGCGTTTTTTGGCATGACACTCTTTACAGCGACCCTTTCGATATAACGACCGATGTATGAAGTCCCGTTTGCTCGATTGTATTTACTCTTTTTATGAAATGTCACTCCCCTTGTATGATTTATTTTCGAATTCTGTCAGAATACGTCAATTGTCTTTACAACTGACGTATGTTATTTATCGAAAATGGTAGTTACGAACCAGCACATTATTTTTAATGCATTTTTTGCCTATAAAGTATTATTTTAAGGGTTGCTTGTTCGTATCTATTTTATTGCGTTATTGCAAATTTTCTGTTAGTTACTATATTCTTATTAAAGTGAAGTATATTTGAAATCCTTATTAAATTATATATAAATTCCTACTAAAGTAAGCACATTCGAATTGTTAAAATTGGTCAAATATTTTCTTAGCTTTGATTTAATGTTTACGATATTTCTTAGTTCTCATGTTTCTTTTAACCTCGGACCACAACGGTCGTTATATTGAGCGTCGATTGTAAATGCGAATATAGAGATGTATCAAAACAATAAATGCAAACACAGCAGTAATATAAGTTTCATATATTTCTATAAAATATGTGACAATTCTTTTGAGAAGATTTTATATTTTCTTTGTATTAGAACGACCTTCTGAAATAAATTGGGCAGCAAGCCAAGGTTCTTGGTCTTATTTATTGGACAACGCTTTCAAAAAATAAAGTTTTAGAGCAATGCACTTTAACCTTGATTTGCTCATTCTTTTTTTTTTTATTATTTGCAGTTAACCATACAAAAATAAAATTTTCCGCCATTAAATTAAGATTAGTTAAAAAATCATACCACGCACATAACAGAAGAATAAATTGTGGGAATTGATTTCTAAAAATAAAGAAAAATTTAAATCTTTGCAAAACTCAATTTGTTTTATTCTTTGTGAAAAAAATTAATAGGTCATTTAGAAAATATAAATCTCTTTTTATGTAACTAAAGTGATAGAACGAGTTTTTTGCTTCTTTAATTAAAGCAATTGAAAAAATATTAAAATTCCTTTATAACTGAACTCTTAAATTAAATATAGTTCAGAATGAATGATTAAAAAATTATCAGAGGCAAATCATTCTCAGGATGAAAGAATATCTGACAAACATAGTATTTGATGACTATACATAAAATAGGAAATTATTCATAAAATATTAGCAAGCATTGTGTTATCAAAAAAAAAGTTTATTTAGAAGTTTTGGGGGAAAAACACATTTTACCAAGTAACGGTTCTATGCATGGAGAATTTTTTGAATGTTTTTCTAAATTATCATTCATAAATGTATGTTCATAAATAAGTTATGAATGAAATTCAAATATAAATAAAACAAAATTTATCCATTCTTATTAAAGATTTTCAACTTCAGGAAATTTTTCGTTCTTGACTTAAAAGTAGGCGGTTTTAATCAAAATGTAATTCAATGACAGAGATGCATCTAGAGGGACCATTCAAATATTGCTCGATAAAAAGCCAGAGTTTGAGTGCTTGAAATTTTTCAACTTTTATTATCAAATTTTTAAAATTTTAAAATTTTTTCTAATACAAATTCACCAATTCAAAGAGATTTTCCCAAAATGAAAGTTATCACAATCAATGAATCATTCTCAATTTTTAAAAAATTTTATGTTCGGCAAAAAGTGCAGCATTAAAGTAACTTTTAAAAGAGCAAAAAAAAACGAACAAAAAAAAAACATCTTTCTTTTTCGTAAAGCTTGCTTTTCTTAATTAAGATATTTAGCGAATTTTTATTAATAACATAAGGTACGATCCACAAAACTTAGTTTAAAAAAATAACACATTATTCACTGAAAGTTGTTCTTTCACATGGCATCAGAATCAGGTAAAAAGATCTAAACAAAAATAAATAAGGAGAAAAATACTCTCTATATAAATTCTTCTTTGTTATTTATTTATATATACTATTTTTTCACTATTCATCTCTTTCTTTTCCGTTGCGTAGAAAAATAACACTGGGGATTTTTTATTATTCTGCTGCAAGAGATTTTTTTTACAGAC